AACACAGGTCCTAATATTACAGCAAACATTGCAGAGAGCTAAATGGTAAACAAATGCTGCGTAATATATACAAGCGAGAATACAGGCAAGGCCTTTCTTGCACTGACTTGTTACTTAGCATTCAACAACTCACTGTCACATCAAAAATACATTACTGAGATCCCACTGCAGAAGAAAAGAGTATTTCAACTTTCTGGCAAAGCTCAAAGTTCAATCACCCTGCAGCAAATCAATCAAATGTGTGTGCAGGAAGCAATGAAATAGTACAGATACCACCTCACTGCTTTCAGCTGAATACAGTTTTTCTTCTTTTCAAAAATCAGCAAGTAGCACCAGGAAATACAAAGTTCACATTATGCAGAAGATAAAAAGGAATCTATCAGTGTGATTCAGAGTGGCAGAGAACAGTGTTCAGGGTATATGGAACAATAAATAATGAACACTCGTCACTAGTAACCCGGTGTGATGATTTGGGGGTTTGTTTTTTTTTTTCCTTTATAGACACCAAGATTCATTATGCCACTTTAATATTACATCTGCCACATTCCAATAGCGAGGAGCCAGGCATGCAGGGGCAATCATGCATTGAACCATGTGAAACACGTCAGCCAGCACTGATAGATGTATGGTCAGGACACTGGACGTGTGTACGCACAGCACATGCCACTTAAGCGAACACAGAGCGTTCTGTTTGGATGGCGTTGGCCTGAGCTATGCAAATCCCAGCTTACCAAGGGGAGGGAGCAGGGTGCCACACCACGCACGTGACGGCCTGGAAAGTCACATACACTTTGTTGATTCAAGCAACTCTTTTTGCACTTTTGTTATGACCAGTACAAAACTGCCCTCGTGTTCACGAGATGCGAGACACGTACCTCGTATTGGGCTTCACCAGTATCTCCAGCAGACTCCAGCCGTGCAGTAAGCTCGTGAAAAAATACCAGAGACATATGCTATCTACTAGCAGCTGAGTGAGAGGATCACACAAACTTCGTCTTGGCTGGAATGAAAATCTTCAGTTTCCAGCAGACATCATTACGCAAAAAAAATTTTGCAATCGCTTTCTTTCAAATGGCTGAAGCCAACTCTGAAATGAAGCCCCCTGACTTGGACATTTTTTCCCTAGAGTGTACTGTTTCATTTTGTTGTAAAAATTTCTGTTTCTCTGTGACTGTTAGGTAGCTATAACTACAACAAATGCTTTTTTTAAAAAATGGAAAATAAACAAATTCACAAATATGATTAGAAATGAGCCTGAATTTTGAAAGAATATCAAATCTACATGAAAACAAAATTATTTATATTTTAAGTTATCAAAAGAAAACAACTGATTCACTGCAAATGATGAAGTACATAGAACCATGGAAATTAAAAGAGCATCACTTAAATACACAAAGTTAATTCCCACTGCAATTGTATAGAACTGAAATTTGAAACACGAGGCACCTTAAAAAATTTATTTAGTATATCCAAAAACAAAAGTTACAAAAAATTTCTATAAACATCGGCAAAAATGTTTAAATAGGATAATTTAATGTAAACCAAACCCCTTTAAATATGCAATACTGTAATCAGAGGTCATTTACATCCAGTGAAGACAGAACAAACTCCACTAATGCTAAATATCATCTATGTGAATAATTAATTTCCATAATTTCTTAAAACAGCGACACTTATATTTAAGTTAGTTTTAGTACATAAATCATCTCAATCCTAATACAAGGTGAAATTCAATGTTACATTCAGAAGTGGGAAAGGCAGTATCCTGACTATTAATATCATCAGTCAAGACAGTACTGCATTCAGATTTGCGAAACTTTTAGAAAGGTACAACTACAAATTTATAGTATTTATTGCATGACAATGCAATTACAGGATAGGTAAAACTAAGAAGCGATCTGCAAAAAAAAAGCTGTATAAAAACCCAGTACAAATGAAATTTTATTTTTCAATCAGATTAGAAAAGCCAGCCACAAGACTAAGCTATTTTCCCCACATTTCACAAAACAGTACAAAACATTTAGTAATTTGACATTATTACAACATGAGGAAGGCTGTTAACGTCTTAGGGGAAACACACTTGGATAACTGTCACACACAAGTTTTCTTTAATTATGAAATTTATTCACTGAGACATAAGTTTATAGCCCACAATGGCACTGGTGCTCATGTACATGGAAAAGGCATAGATCAGTAAATTCAACTCATAGCTCATTTCAGATATTTGGTTGTGGCTTTTTTGGAAAGACAAGCATCATTTTTGCATTGCACGTAAAAGTATCTAGAGGATACTGAAACATACTCAACTTAGAAGCCAGAAACATAAAGCTGTCAAAAGTGGTAGTGGAATATACAGTAAAAAAAGAAAAAAAGAAAAATAAATATCCCGTGTTCAGGGGATGACGAAAGCTGCTGAATGACCAATGTGAAATGGGAGATCTCCATGCACTTCCTACAGGAAAGTATTGTCTACAAACAAAAAAAGTTACTGCTAAAACTGCCAGCTGTGCTGGCAGGCACAGGAGATGCCAATATGGCACGGACACTGAAATACCAGCTCTTTTTGGAGGTGGTTCCTGCATGTTGAGATGAGGCACTTCGTTTTGGTAACGTCTGCCTAAAGCAGTATATTAACTGTTGCTCAGTATAAAAGGAGCTTTAACTTCTGCAACTGGCAGTTCAGGGGACACAAGAGCTAAAAATCACTCTGAAAGAAAAGGTCAGGCAGTCCAAAAAAAAAAAAACCCAGGCAACTCTTACCACAAGTGTCCAAAACATATTGTACTTATCAGCCCAATATCTATTATAGACAATAAATATAAATAATAGAGTTATCTTTTTGACAACCGTTTGGCCTGGAGTTCATCAGTTAACTGTACTACAACTTGCTTTGGCAACTGAAGATCCCCAGAAGGCAACCTAGGCAATGTACTCTCTCTTTGCCAAAAATGAGAACATAAAATTAATCAGAAATCCTTACTTCATTTGTCAATATCAAATTCTCACAGAAGTGTGCATATACACATCCATGTATGACCACACATTTCTTCTCAGCAGCTTTATTTAAAATTCTTTAGGAAAAACACAGGCCAAGCCCCCATCTCAGCCACTAACAGCAGTTTCAAATGGATGGCACTGGCATTTCATTTGGGGTCTCTGGAACAAGACACAGTTTGTGCTTCTGTCATAAAAAAGCCAACATAGCACAGCAGTCCTTCAGGGCTAAATACATCTCAATCGGTGCTAATGTATTAGAACCAGAACAATACTAAAGCTAACGCAATGCTACCTTGGCGTGGGGGGAAAGAAAACTGAAATAAATATTCACAAGCTAAACCAAGCAATGAACTTCTAAGCTGTGAAAAAAGAATGGTCACACTACAGCTTGCACCAGCTTAACTATCATCAGCATCTAAACCAGGTGGTTGAAATTCTGTACAAGCCTCTATTATAATTTGCATCAAGTCTGACAGAAATACACATCTCTTCCACCTCGTCACTCCAAACTGATGCTCGGGGGTATGCCTGGGGTGTGTTCTTAGAAATGTAACATGGGGGGTCCTCACGGTTCTGCCCTACATCAGGTGGGCTCCACAGCTCACAGCTGGAGAGAGCAGAGCCGGGCTGGCCATGCAATTTCTGGAGCCAGCCCGGACTGATGTGCTTCCCAGCACCTCTGACTCTGATGAGCAGCTGTAACCAAAGGGCTGTGAAAAAAAAAGACTGTGCTTTGAGAATTCAGGTCATGGATAAAAGCACTGTGCTGTTCTTAGAAACAATGAAAAATGTGAATAGTTTTATTTCATTATAACATATTGTTAACTTTTGCAACAGATGCACCTTGTTGGAATAGATAAGTGATAAATATGTTGTAGTTGAAAAAAGGAATCTATATTCTCTGCAGAGGATTTCTGTAGCCACCAACACAAGGTGCACACACAGTAAGTAAGCAAGAGGCAAAAGTATAGCAAGAATTGAGGATGGGGTTTTTATTTCATTGGGGAGGGAAGTCACACACAATGACTACTTTCCCTTTTTTTCCCTTTTAAAAAGGAAAGTAATACCTTTGGGTTTATGGATAATATCCTGGTCCCAGTGAAGACTATGGTAGGAAGACTATGATCAGGACTTTATCCATTCTTGAGCAATTCAGTATTTCATGATTCTCTGTTGCATAAACTTTCAAATTCTAAAGTTAACATAAGCACACTTCTCACCTCTAGAAAAACAGGAAAACAGAGTGGAAAGGCAGAACATAGACAAAAAAGCACACTATTAAATTAACTAATTAATGTTTAGAAGCTAACTAATCTTGATTTGTTAGCTTCTAAACATGTACAGAATTTTAAGCATGTAATAGCACAAGCTTTAGAATACATCTCTTCTGCTAGGACTCTGAAATTATTGCTATGACACCACCATACTCCTAACGAGGTACTGGTTTGAACACAAAGGCATACTGCCCTCAGCCTTCCAAGGGCCCAGGATAGGGTGCAGCATGTTAACAAAAATCCAAGTGAGAAAAAGGAACCAACCAGACAAGAGGCAATATTGCAAAATCAGTCCTCTTTGGTGTAAATAACTATCTAAAATGTTGCTTAAGAATTCCCTATTTCAGGCAATTCTGACAGTCTGCAGTAAGAAAGGGAAGGGGGATCTTGTGGGGAATGTGGGCCACATTCAGAATAAAACAAGTGACATCCTTCAAAGTGGAGGTACTTTTGAGAAGTATGACAGAGCACCACATTTGTACCTGCACTACACTCTCAATACAGATTCCTTATCTTGTAAGACCTGCTGTAGGGGAAAAATTGCAAACCCAAAGAACAAGTGAATACAAAACAAAAGTGAAATTCATTGTAGAAGTCCATTAAATTACAGAAATGCATAATAAGCCAAGATAAAGTGCTACAAAATGATTAGTAACTTTAAGAAGTCCACAGCATTCTTCTTGCTTTACTTATTACTGGTGACAACAGGAGATAGTGCAATTGCACTGGCTGAACTTGAATTCACAATGTCTTCATATTGCGGAGGTGGATCTAAATGTTGTTCAGTTTCACTTCTCATACTGATTTCACCAGTGGCTTCCTCGTATGAAGGAGGAGGATCACAGTTTGAGAGCCTTGTGGATATGGAGTCTGACTGTCCATCTGTATAGCTCAGACCTCCTGGAGAGAGCCCACTGACTTCAAACATTTCCTCCTGTGGGGAATGAACAATGCTGAGAGGCGGTGGAAGAGGACCTCTGCCGTCAGCCACAGCACCATCACCCATTGCTTCGTGGGCTCCCCTATGCATGTACACCGACTGTCTACGCATTTTCTTTTTAAACAGGCATCTCCATATGACAAAAATGACAATGAGGATAACAAAAAGGCCAATGATTAATGGAAATGCAAGGTAAAATGAATACCAGGTATGTCCTGTGTTACTTTCTCCCTGAAGTCCATTTTTGTAGACTTTCCAGAACTCCTTCTAAAAGAGCAAGACAGGATAAGTCAGAAACTATAAGACAGTTAAAAAAAATTAAAAAAAAAAAAAAAATCACTGTAATTAAGTTGTTTTAAATGAATGAGAAAAACCAGGCATTTCAAATACTGATGATTAAAATCAGAACTGGTATGGATAAGCATGCACAATAAACTTTCAAATTTTCTTCTGATGTGGTTAATGATACAAAAGGGTGGGGGTTTTTCTCAGACCAATTCCTCACTGCTTTTAAGATTCCTAAACCTGCACTTAACATTTACAAACCTACAGCACAGACAGGAGTAGGTAAGAAACCTAATCAGCATGCACATCAGCCATCTGGAGGATAAGAAGTACCACTCAAAGTAAAAGTTATCTGCTTTTGTTTGTTTTAAAATAGTTAAAATATACTAATACAATTTGAGAAGGAACTAGTGTTTCGGAATGACAGACCATTGTGGCAAAGCACAACTGTGCTGTACTGTCATCTCATAATTTAGACTTCCTCCACCCTCCGGCTCATAAAGCAATTGTTGTCAGTTTATTTTGAGTTGGTTCAGTCTGTTTATAGCTAAAAATAGCTTCAGCAGTATGAGAATATTACACAGCTTGTTATGTCCTAGAAATTTTGACAACACAGCTACAGATAAATGGAACAGAAAGTGAAAAGTGAAAATATGAGTAAAGGAAAACAACGATGAAGGAGGACACCAGTACTTGAAAGTACTCTTAGCTCTATTAATATGCACAAGCAGGAGTACAAAGATCATGTCAATATTTTCCTGCAGTGAATACTATGAAAAGCTATACAAAGAAAATCATACCCTGCCTCAAAAAAGTAGTCATGCTCACCTTTAAGATCTCTCCTACCAAGAAACACTTCCATGGTGTTTTACAGCTATGTATAATTTAACAAACAAGAAAAGACAAAAATCCCCAAATCCATTGCAGAAACTAAATTCTTTCATTTCCTTTAAAAATGCACAGACATGACCTACTCATATTAATGCCATCATGTATTTTAAATTAGAACACACATCTCACATGCAAGTATTTATAAAATACTCACCAGGTAAAATTAATATAGTCATTGCTCAGTTATTAGTAAATTATGTATTCAGGTTGCAGACTGACTAACTTTGTGAACACACAAAGTAGATACATCAATTTTTTTTCAGGCCAGAACTGCTGTCACATAATCAGCATTAAATAAGACAAAGCCACTGAACTGATCTCAGAGGCAGCTTGGGTACAGAAGGAGCACAGTCCCTATCATGTGGAGGTTAAGCTTACTCTGTGCATAGCCAGGACCAGGAGACCATGGGCAAAACACATGCTCACAATGCTTCTGGATCAGAACTTACCAAGGTTAAGAGCAATGCCACGTGCATGAAACAATCATGTAGTTGTTGGTGTTTTTTTGTGTGGTTTTTTTTTTTTTTAAATGATAAATTCAGTTGTTTTTATCCCTATACTCAGAATAAGTTGTTTTTTTTTTAAAAAAAGTCTTACTTAATTCCTACAGCAAACCAGGATCAGGTGTTTTTCCTAAATTCCAAGGCTTGACATCAAAGCAGGTCATCACAGTGCCCCTCTGATGTGAACCCAGGTCTAAATCATCTAAGCTAAGTCAGGTAGCCTTGACTTCAAACAAAGTAAGCAAGTCTTGGAAGATGCACTATCTTCTCTAAATACTTCTCTTCAAGGGCCTTCCTTGATGCAGTTCCACAGTGAATCCCAGATCAACCATGTTCTGAAGGAAAACATTTAAGGGGAAAAACCTATCATTAAAAAATTAAATTAGCTGCACAACTGAGGACTTTTGGAATCTCTGCATGATAAAGATTCACAAAACCAAACACCTCACCTCTCCCCATCAGGCAGTTATTTTTGCAATCCTGATCCCTTGATCAGGCAAATAGGGAGATCAGTTACCTACTACCTTTCCATCTGGTTTGAATACAACTAACGAGATTCCTTACTGGAATAAAGAATAAATATATTATCAACTAAAAAAGCAGGAAAAGATTCATTAGTATTAACTGCCATTATCTGGAACTGCCATTATAGTGGAACCAAGCTTCTCACTTCACTGTTTTGCTGCCTGAAGAGCAGCAAAGGAATAAAATGGTACAATGTATGTTTTCAAGGCTAAAGTTGCAAAGATTTACTGGAAATCATCAAATATACTGTGCAAGGATGTGTCTTTTTAAAGACACTCTGTGGAAGAGAAAGGCAGTTTTGATGAAGAAGCAATATATTTTGTGTTGCAGACTGCAGAGGAAATGCACCCTCTCTGATGTAAGGGCAGTAAGTTGTGACTGATATTTTAATAATGTTTCCGTGCTAGTTCTAGTTCAGCTCCATCCGCTGGAGAAAACTTCTCTGGATGTTCTCCAGAAAGTTGAAGTCCCAGTATCTCTCCTTGCCACTCTGCAACATGGCAAAGCAGCAGAAAAGCTGTTTTCCCAGAGTGGCAGGCAATTAGTTCAGAGTAGAGTGTGTAGCTGTGGGGGATGTTCCAGTTGATGGTGTGACCAAACAGGTGCATAAAGAGCTTAAGGTAAGAGGTTAAACTGCTTTAAGGATTAAAGTAGTTTAGTGTCCACGTTCATTTGCATGCAAGGCAAAGGAAATTCCAGAACACTTTAGAAACACCCCCTGCCACCAAAAATTACAATGCTTCACATCTAAGGCTATCTTACAGAGACACAGGAATAAAGTTCTGCACACAGGTGAAAATACTAGGAAACACACACTTACTTAGTAATTTTTTTTTTAAAAAAAAGCTTTCTTTAAATATTCCTCTTTGGGGAAAAATCCAAAACAAAACAAAAAAACAAACCCACAAAAACCAACCAACCAAATGCTTACTAGTGTACTAAACCTGAGGTTTCCAGCTTGCATTTTTTCAAGCCAAATCTCAAAGAGAAGCACAAAGACTGTAAGTTCCAGACTGACAGAACTTACAGGAACTGCAGGAAAACTAATACTTCAGGTTTGAGTTGCGCAGCTGTCAGGCAGCTCCCCCCTTGCTCTGTCATTCCACAGCTACAATGCATGGTACAGTGAAGGCACAGAAGGAGGACAAGCCACCTGGTCACAGTCAAATCATTCCCGACAAAACCACTGGGAACTTGGATGAATTTGCACAGTGTAAGGATCTGTATAAACTGCTGTGAAAAAAACTAAGAGGGGGAAATACTGAAAACCTAGGAAGTAGATGTAGAGCTCATACAGAAAGTTAAAGAGTAATTTAAAAGTTAGAAAAGTCACAGCACAAACATCCCTTCCACAGCTGCTGGTCTCTTCAATCAACAACAAAAAGGACTTTCTGTCTACTTGACAAAGTTATTAACTTGTGATTTATGAAAAGGACATTCCAGTAATCATTTACCCTGGAGCACTGTACGGCTGGGAATACCAGGCATATATGCCTTAAAAGGCTGAAAAACTAAGGCCACAGAATCAGATAATTGCAATGGAAAAGACTTAGAAAATATCTAACATATATTTCTGCCAAGAATTTCTGAATGTTTCTTACTGCTTTGGCAAATCCAGTTTGAAATAATCAAAAGGAATTCTCAAGGGCATCCCACACAAAGACAGTTACAGCCAATTTACCAGAATTTTGTTTCCCTTTTATTTCTAATACTTCTCAGAACAGAGTCAGCATCAGTCTGAGTGCTGAATAAAATCAGGGGTCCACACGAAAGTTAAGAGACTTGCATCCTGCCGAGAATTTCAGCTGAGGCCTTTACTACATTTGGCAGCATTGCCAGCCTCAAATGATTCTCGGTCAATTGTCCATCTTGCTTTAGAGGTGGACTAATAATATGCCAGTCAGAAGACTGCTTAGTATTCAGCAGCTGGAGGACATGAAAAAAGCAATAATGGGAAGTGAGCCTACCTGTTACACTGTTTTCTTCTCGTCTGCCCTCAATTGCAGGTGGCAGGAAAAGATTCACCTCTTCTCTTCTGGGTATTTACCCAGCATCCATAATTAGACACAGACTGATAATACAAGTCTTTCTTGATCACATAATTTTTGATCTGGTGCTGACAAGTTTTGAGTTGCTTGCTAAGCTTTTTAGTGGTTGGTTTATTTTTTTGTTTGTTTTGCTAGAATAGAGCTATAAAGAGAACTTTGCAATTTCTATAACACTTAAAATTTGTGGTAAATTTGAAACACAAATATCTGTGACTTCCAGCTTTTAAAATCTTCATGCAGTGTATTTTTAAAAAGGTTAATGGAAATAAAATTAATATCAGTGCTTCAATCACACCCAGATACTTTGCACAATAACCTCTGAACAAATTTTTGAATCTCCCAACAACTTTTGCCAAATGACCAGTAACCACACATGGTGCTGCCTGCAGGCTACAGGTACTACAAATAAACAGCTTTACTAGATCAGATCTCGGGCTGACCTAATCCTTTACCTGCTCTCTGACAACAACGGTTAGAGATTGCTGAAAGAAGAGTTTAAACAAAAGCAGGCAGTACCCTCACAGCTTCCACGTACTTGTACTTCAAGAACCTCCACTAGCCAATGCTGACCCCTGTTATTCAGTGGTCCCAGACTGATTTGTCTTCTGTTCATTTATATTGTTGTTCTCTGAACCTATATAAGCTTTTAGCACCTGAGACATCCTGTGGCAAGGCAGTCCACATCTTTGTTATCTGTGGTGAGATCAGATACCTCTATTTGCTTTGAACCTGGACTTTCCAGTTTCCTTTGAGGCCTTCTTAAGCTCTCCTGTCAGAAGGATGGCAACTGACCCACCTCAGTTCAGTCTTATGCTTCTCACAGACATTATCACGTATTCCCTGAGTTAACTCTTTTCCAATCTACTGTTGTTACAGAAATCTTTCCATATCTTTGGCCAACTGTCACACTTCTCTGATCCTCTGGTCCTTCCTCAGCTACTAATTTGCTTTTTTAGGAGATAGGGAGAACAGAGCTGTATGTGGCACATTCAAGATGCAGGTGTGCAATGACATAATTATGTTTTCCATTTTGATTCCTATTCCTTTCTTTGGATTCTTAGCACTCAGGTTTTTATTCTGTTTTAGTTTTGTTTGACTGCTGAGCACTAAATTCATATCTTCACAGATTCAAATTCAGATCTTGTTCCCAAGTTCAGGTCAGAGCCAATCACATATTTAATGAATGTTCCCTTTTCCCCTGCATGCATTACATTTGTTAACACTGAATTTCATATTCTATTTTATCCACTAAGTCCTGTAAACTCTTCTCTGTTGGCTCTAGCCTTATTAACACAATAGTATTTTCTTTAGAATTAACTTTACCATTTTAAATAGTAATTCTGAACCTACCAAAATCCCCAAGTTCACACAATATTAAAGGCATTCAATATTTCCATGACTGCTGTGCCTGTACACTTAACAGATGCAATGCTAACCTCCCAGAAAAACCCACGCATCAAAAATAACGAGGGATCTGCTTGATACTATTTTAATATTCCAAACCAACATGTTGCACATCTCCCCAGAAGACTGCAGAAAAACAAAGAACCAAGTGGACAAGATAAAAAATACAAATTACACAAGACAAAGTTACCTCGGGATAAATAAGCTACAGCCCCTGTTTGAATTCCAGTCTATCTACACTATGAAATCATTGCATCTTTGTTACTCCGAACATACTATATCATGTTCCTGGTCTACTGCATCCACTTCCTTCCCCTGAGACACAGGAGTTAAGTCTTACTAAATGGCTGTAAGGATGGATTGATACCCTGGAGAAAAATGGACTAAATAAAGCTTTAAGTAAATGAGGCTGATCAGGCTTGACTGCACATTAGCAGAGCCTGGACCATTAGCAAGCCACCATCAAGAGAATAAAGCAGCTAGGCAAAAAGGGTACAGTAGTAGAAATGGATAAAGGGTCAGAAGCTTCTTCTAATTAGAAGCTTCACTGTGACAGAAAGCTTGTGGCAAGAGTGAAAACAGAACTATTCCTATTTTACTGTTTCCCAAATACATCTACAAGGGAAATGCTATTTACCAAAACACAAAATGATCCTAAATTGGGGTAAAGAAGCTGAAGTGAGAGGCAACACATTTAGGCTATGCTTTGTCTGGTGACTTGAATTTCCTGCACTACTTAAGCAAAAGTGGTGTTGTGTTAGAATTTTATACAAGTATTGGTCATTGTAAACATCATTCTTAATTACACAATCAGCTATCATTAGGAATGGCCACACCGACCCAAGCTTAGTAGCTAAAAACACATGTGTGCCTGCATTTTAAAGCTCCAGAAAGAAGAAACTTCGAAGAGACGCCACAAGTCCTACTACCAAATTTCAATTAATCAGAACTTTTTCATTCCAGCCTTATCCAGCTCCCCAGGTATGACCTCCAACTAAAAGATGCCAAGAACTAAAATGTTCAGTATGCCTTTACAATAACATAGCTATTTTTTGATTCAGAGCTCAGCCACTGAAAACTGGAATGCGTCATCTGTGTAAACTCTGGAAGAAATGTGCAGTGCTCCCTGTGGCACTTCACCAATTAAGCCATTGGCCTTGCGACTACAATTTCCCTGTGCAAAACCACACCAAGGATAGAAGCTTTTTAGGAAGGTAAGTTTTCTGAGTCACATTTTCTAGCACCTCTTTTTCACTTTAGATTTATACTCAAATTCAGCCCTAAATTAATCCATGCTTATCTTGAATTAAAAAAAAATAAATTAATTCTTGACTGTATTGCATTAAATAGGTCAGATACCTCCATCAAAAACCTGTGTGCTGTTTTTATTTGTTAGGAAGCAATATAAAGTATGTTGGGTACGATATGCAGCTACTGCTTGCAGAGCCATTAGCCCACAAGCTTCTTTTAATTAAAGAAGCCAACACACTTAAGCCACAATTCTGTGTGGGCAGTTATCTGCTTCATTCCTGTCAAGTTAATGTATCACTGCCCTTGCATAACACAGGGTAGCACCAAAATAATTGTTTTTTCCATGTTTTAGATCACTGCTGCTTAAAAATACTCTCTGGAGGCTTGTGGATTTTAGCTTGAAGAAGGCCACTAGTCTTTCCTTATTTTTGGACTATTAATAGTCTGAGCACTGAACACCTTGGCCAGCTACACCAGCACCTGGGATTCTAAGGTGCATTTTAAATTGAAAGCTTTTTGAGTTGCTCACTTGTTTCACGTGAGCACATTCAGTAAATAAGTTACTCCAGAAGGATTGAGATCAGTGCAGACTTGTGCCTCTGCTTATAACAGTCCCAATCCCATCATTTTTTTTCCAGGCAAGACAACAGCATTTATGATATTCAGGTCAGCATTCAGTTTCAGGTTTGATGATAGGAGAACCAGTACACAGGCTATTTGAGTAAATAGTGCTGCCAAACAGTCGACAGTTTTGCCCACCTTTTCTCAAGTGGAGGTTATTAATTCATGTTCCTTTTCTTCCCAGCTGCCAATTTTCATAACACTTATGAGTATAATTATCTTTGAGACTTTTATCCCCTTTTCAAATTCAGCTTAATTTGGACAAAGGATTCAAAAGTTATTGCTGTGTAATATTGCTGTGTAAATCCATCTCCACTGTACACCTTATTTGCTTAAACAAACAGGCCAAAAAGAAAAACAAATCCCATGTAATGTTGGAAAAAACACAAGCATTCAGCACACCCAAAAGTTCAGTATCAGTACACCCTACCCATCTTTAAACACACATCAGAGCATACCGTTTTTTCCTCATTTTCAAATGCTTCTCTTGCTTCTTCATAGCTACAGATTTCTTCTCTGCATTCATGTTCTATGTCACCTTGCTTTAGTTCTTCCAGAAATGTGTTGGCTCTCGGGTATCTTTTTAACACAGAATTGGCTTTGTCCTCTGTTAAGAACACTGAATAAGAGGAGAGACAACAAAGGTCACTTCTAAAAGAGATATAAAAAACATCCTGCTAAAATTACTCAAAGAAAATGTGCTTTTGAGAAATAAAGAGCAAATTCTTCCCCTTTATTTAATATGGGAAAGGCCTTTGCTAGTTTTGTTCACTATGGTAAGTAGTTAGACCTACAATTTCAGTAGTTATTGCTACAATGTCATAAATGTGATGGACCTCAATTCAGCACCACAGTCACTCATGCTCAAACAAGAAAGAACCTGGTGCCTAAGAAGAGTGCTCAGAAGAGACAGGCACATGCTCAGCTCAAGCGACTTCTTAAACTAAGATGACACAGAACAAACAAATCCTGCTTGTGACAACCCAAAAAGATATCTGCAACCACCTGAGGGCATCACAGCCAGAATGCTCTAAAGTTTTTGATGTAAATATTTATGAGTATTACCCAGAGTTATACACACCAGAACAGCTGCATTTATCAAAGTTTAAGTCTGTAAGTTTTCCTAAGCAACTTCGAAACAGACTTGCTCCCTTCATTCCAGAAATCTCAACCATGAAATACTGATCCTTTTGGGGGTGTGGGGGCAAGTAGCCTCTTTCTTTAACCATACACAAAACCTTATTTGAGGAATCAAACAAAACAACCCCAAAAGCCAACCCGTATTCTGACACAGGTAGTCTCCACTTGCTTTCCTTAGTTTTCTGTTCAAGAAAGGGAGCTGGAATCAAGCTCTTCTGATGTTCCAGCTTTCCCTCAAACTCCCTGACCCAATGATTTTTACAGTAATATGCAGCAACTCCAAAACCCATCAGACAGAATTACCCAGAAGGTACATCTGCAGTGAATGATGCAGAAATTCTCCAGGTATTTCAGGTCAGGAAGCAAGAACATCATGTCAGTGCAACATTTTTTTTCGGCTCTCACTGCCAGCAAGAGGGGCTAATTATTCAACACACTGCTGTACTAATACACTCATAACACTTTCCTGACCTATGCCATCATTTCTGCATTGGTTCATTTGCAGCTGCTCTGGGATCACCAATATACTATGAAGAAAAACTCTCACTGCTGAAGGACAGAGACTGACTGGTTTAAGAAATGATTTATCTATAATTGTATATGAATCAGTTTGCTTTTTGGGTTTTTTTTTTTGTTTTTTTTTCCTTTTTCCCTTAATCATCTGATTTTGAATTTCAAAAAACAATGGCAGCAAGTCTACAAAGATGGTTGCTATACCTTTGCTTTCTTGTTAGATAGATGTGGTGGCTTATTTCAGCCATGAGGGTACTACCATAATTAGGATGATCTACTTTAATTCTGTTTCGTCTCTGTGGTATATTTTGCTATGAATTATTAAGACAGTCATCTTCATTTAGCAAAGGATTCAATGAAGATTTGAAGATTAAAACTCCAAAACATCAGTCAGTCCTATACTTTCAGTTGAACACATGTGGTATGTACATGCACTACACAAATTACACTATTCATGATGTTGCCAGAGGTTCAGTGCATACAACACTACAACTGCACCTATCACAATTTTGGTTTTCTACAGCACCACAGGTGAACACACGGGCATCTCCTATTGTCTGAGTTCACTGACTAAATAACGTAGAAATTAACATTAAAAAATATTTTCAAAAGAGAAAGAAAAAAAAAAAAAAAAAAGGATGGTTGATTTCCATTTCCTACAGAATTCCTGACTCCTCTCTAGGCCTGAAGAACTTGGTTCCTTTCAACATGTCTCAGCGATCACCTAAACGTGATGAGATGAAGGACTTGTCCACATCAGGAAGCCAGCCTGCAGCCATGTATGGGGACAGAGTGCCAGTGCTCCACCTACTTCTCACCAATTCCTCCTGTGGGCATTC